TTACTCTTGTGTTTGCCTAATGGCGTGGTTTAGAGGTCAAATTATTACTTCGATTACGTATCTTCTGCCTTTGTTACAATTTTTCGGTGGCTTCTTTGAATAGAACAGGCATATGCTGGGGCAGTAATGTTGCGCAGGTGGTAGTCTGTTCCACCCTCTGGTGCTTTCATTTAGTCTGTTTCATTTTTCTCTCACTAACCGCTACTACCTATTTATTCCTAGCATTTCAAAAGGAAGTCTAAGAAGGTCTTCCGCCCTACCCACCACTTTGCATCTCAGCGAAGAACGGTGGGTCACCTCGTCCAGCAGCAGCAGCTGGTGGTGGAAATAATGCTTACACAATAAGGTTTCATTAAGAAATTCTGATAGTCAGCAGCAACAAAGGTACAACGTACACCGAAGATAGAACTTACAAATTTCTTTGCCGACACCTTTTATTTTCTTATTTTTCTACCACACAAGCAAAAATCTTTTGGGCAAAGCATAACAATTTTCAAAAAATTTAAATTATCTTTATCATATTATTTTATTATTTGTACAGTACGATAGATGAACGTGTTTATATGTATCCATGTATAGGTACCACGTGGAACTTTGTAAAGAACAATGCAGTCTTTTGATGATTGCATGTAATCTTATAGTAATATTCCCCCAGAAAGTTACAGTATATATTTGTGTGAGTGTACTTACATATTTACTAAGGCATTTCCGTAACAGTTGGTGACACACTTAACACTAACCCTTGTTCACTTATAAATGCAGATTAAAGTTTAACTAACACCAAACTCATCTATTATCATATCATGATAAGCTTTTGTGAGAAAAATTGGGGACGAAGTTGAAATCTACCTTAACTAAATACTAAATTTCTTCGGGTTTACCTTGCTTATTATACGCCTTTAAAAAAGCAGTAGCCTTTCTACATTAAAAACAAAATATTAAACTTATGTCTGTAGGGTGCTTTTAAATATACCCTCTTCTTGAATTGATGAATTTTGGAAATATTCTAACTTAATCGAGTTTATTGTAGTCAAAAGGGACCTCTTCATAAGCAACAAATTGAACCAAACTATCGATGCAATGGAAAGTTGGTAATAAAACAGAGAGCCAAGTCGCAGTAATTGGAGTTGTATTGTAGCCATTTCACTACGTTGTGGAAAATGGGACACAGCTGGCAATTGAAACTCTAAAAGGGTCGGAGTGTACGCCGACGAAAACCCTCTCGAACAGATAGTTTCAGAGATACAACGGCGAATTCAGAACATCTCAAATAAGTTCAGTAATTAAGAGTTACGATGAATACAGTAATTGTCCTCGCTTTTGAATAGTTCCGATTGTAACTTTAAAGAACACCCACGAGCGATTTTTTTTTTAAGTCAACCAATTAATAATTTCATAATAAGTTCCATGCTGACATTACAATCTTTTGGAAAATCAAAAAAGAACTGTATAACTGATAAATATTAGTGAATTTATTTCTGTGCTTTCTCTTATGAAAGTGTTGCGAACTTCGCTAGGATTTTTTAGAATACAAATAATG